CCTCGCCATAACCATCAACGCGACAGCACTTTAGATCCTATGCAAAGATGGCAAGAATCGCCTCCGGAAGCTGAAGCGGCGTCATTATCCGCCATTGCTGATGCACTACAAAAAACACCATTGAGAACTCGCTCATCCGCTGGGAGCCTAGGTCGAAGTCGAGTTGGGAGTCGCGCAGGGTCTACGCATAGTTTAGGAAGTGCGACGAGCTGTTCTTCTGCGTCAGTTGGATCACCCCAGTCCGCGACTCGTAAAGGTTCGTTGAAAGGTCGAGTCACAAAGTCAAAACGTTCTTCTACCACCAAAGGCAAGGAATCCCAGAACAGGCGGTTTCCTTGTACCTTTTGCTGCGACAAGTTCAAAAGTAAGTATGACTGGGCCCGGCACGAAAAGTCTCTTCATCTCGACCTTGCTGGCTGGCGATGTGCTCCATTCGGAGGAGTAGTGGTGTCCACAGAAACAGGGCAAAACCATTGTGCATACTGCAGCCAACTCGACCCAACTCCAGAGCATCTCGATACTCACAACCACGCTGGTTGTCAGAATGACGACAAACCTCCTGTCTTCAGTCGAAAGGATCATCTCACCCAACACCTTCGACTCGTCCACCACGTGAAAACGGTACCGGCTATAGATTCGTGGAAGGTTGAGGGACCGCCCGTGAAATCGAGATGTGGAATCTGCGGGCTTCGAATGGAGACGTGGAAAGAACGAGTCGAACATCTGGCGAAGCATTTTCGAAAGGGTGATACTATGGCTGATTGGAAGGGCGACCATGACTTTGAACCGCATGTCAAGGCTTGTGTGACGAATGCGCTGTCACCTTATATGATCGAGGTCGAAGGAAAATGTCCCGTGCCCTTCTCGGCAACTGATCCAAGCTGTCGAGATCATCTTCTTCAGATTCGAGAGAACGTTGGCCGAACCACGGACTTTGCTGAGGGGAACCTGGGCAATCTGGACGCAGTAGAGGAAACTGCAGCGCCGCCGCAACGCTCAATGACACAGGACAGCAGCTCCATGGCCTTCCCCGAATTTCTGGTCCACCACTTGGGCAGATACGCACAGCGACAGATGAGTCTCGGGGTCATTCCAACAGATGAGATGTTTCAGACTGAAGCGAGGAGGATTGTATACGATACCTCGGATCCATGGGATCAGACGCTAGCGGATAACAAAGACTGGCTTTCTTGTTTCAAAGAACATCATGTTAATGGTTCTCCAGGTAACTGAGGGTTTCTGGCTGACGGCGAAGAGGACATTCCTTGGAACGGTTTATGTGTAGATTGGAAAACTGGTGTTTGTAGCCCTGGACTGGGCCTTAGATTGCGTTATATTTAAAGACTAGATAGTAATAAACGAGATTGATAATGTAGTCATATAAAGGTTCTTCATCTTTACGCCTTATGTTTACTAGGGGTGTTCAACAATGCCAATCATAGAAGGCGCAGGGCGTAGGGCGTGTTTTCGGGAGCGAGGTTCGGCCACATCATGCGCATCGCGACCAATGAACCATCGAAGAACATAAACTCGGTATTGAGTTTCAGCATGGATGGTGTTGAACGATAGAAGAGCTCGCTAGATGTACTAAAAGTAGGGTCCGCGTCGATGATAGCCTCAAATTGTTTGATGCTATTTATAGTGTATCTAATCGAGAAATTCCCATACCATGCATTGCACCAGGATCACAGACCCATGTAGCACGCATCAGATAAAACAAAAGAGATTGAGAGAAAGATAATCTTATCTCCATCACATCACATGCATATCTCAAAACAGACTTCAACGCGGACTGATAAACGCCCCAGGTAATCAATCCGAGAGTGGCAACTCCGCCAGCCCCGTCGGCCATGAAAGAGGAAATCCGAAGCGCCTGCGTCTCCATAATAAAAATGTGATCACACCGACTGAAAAGATTGCGCAAGACTAGAGAGATAAGCTTAAATATCGAGTAGTTGTTTTCTTTGACTATGATTCTGTAGGTCTCATCGTAAGGTTGCTGAATTGCAAAGATGAAGGTGCCGTTGTATGCGAGCGCTGGTGTCGCAACCTCATGTGTTGCGTTCCTCTTTGGGTATGTTCTCCAATCGTGATAGCTCCGAGAACGATTATCTGATTACGTTGTTTAGAATGGACACTGGGAGTATTGGTCCTATCACCACTATGACTGCCTTCAAGGAAACCTTTGGCGACTTCTCCGCAACTATTCACGGCGTTATCGTGTCAACAATTCTCATCCCTGGGGCTTTGACGGCGCTTATTGCTGGTGCTCTAGCACATCGTTTCGGACAAGTGAGACTCATCGCCTTAGGATCCATCATATTCGGTATCGGCGCTGCAATCGAATGCGGCGCTCCTTATCTCGGTGTCTTCATCCTCGGTCGGCTCATCAAAGGAATGGGCGAGGGTCTGTTTCTCAGCAATGTCTACGTTCAAGTATCAGAGATGTCTCCCTCCAGGGTGAGAGGCATCATGACCGCGCTTCCGCAGTTTTCCATTACTACTGGTATTGTGACTGGTTACTTCACCTGCTACGGAACATCGCGGCTCGGTAGCTCGTCTATTACATGGCGTCTGCCTCTCGCCATTGTTGCATTTCTCGGCTTTCTTCTGTCGATGGTGGCTTTCATCGTCCCTCCATCTCCACGGTGGCTTCTGTCCAAGGGACGCACAGATGAAGCTCGAACGGTTTGTCGACAACTCGGCATTGATGAAGTTGAGGAGAAGGAGCTTCTCGCTCAGGTCTACGATACCCCGGGTGGTTTAGATGGCGAAACATCGCTGTGGCAAGACATTCAACATACTTTTAGAGATTTCCGATGTGCCTTCTCGACACCATACCGCGGCAGAACAGCTTTTGCCTGCTTTCTGATGGGTATGCAGCAATTCAGTGGCATAGATGGAGTGCTCTATTATGCGCCAATTCTATTCACACAAGCAGGTCTTAGCGGCGAGAAAGCCTCGTTCTTGGCATCAGGAATTTCGGCTGTCGTGATTCTCGCAGCTACTCTTCCTGCAACAATCTTCGCTGAGCAGTGGGGTCGGAGAATGCAAAGTGTCTTGGGTGGAGTTTTGATCGTCGGTTTGATGGTGATCATGGGATCGCTATATGCGTCTGGGCAAGTCCACCCTGAGTACGGCGCAGGGAGATGGGTTGTCATCGTCTGCATCTATCTCTTCGCTATTGCTTTCAGCTTCACCTGGGCCATTGGCTTCCGAACTTGGGTTGTTGAGAGTATGCCAAGACGGACGAGAAGCAGTGCTTCGAGTCTCGCGCAAAGTTCAAACTGGGTGGGTGAAGCTCCAAAGATTGTGTTGTGATATGTACTAACTTATTTGATAGGCTGCTAACTATATCGTCGCCCTCGTTACACCGGTGTTGCTTGACAAGTCCTCGTTTGGCGCATACTACCTCTTCGCCGGATGCAGTCTCGTCACAACGATAATGGTTGTTTTGTTCATGAATGAGACGAAAGGCTATAGCTTGGAGGAAATCGAGAAGAGGCATGAGAGGACGAGGGACAAGAGAATCCCACTTAACCTTTAAAGTCATGTCACGCAAGGATAGCCTTATCTTGTAGTGAGAATGGATTAATGTATCAATACTCCCATACAGAGGCCCAAACTTTAAGAAGGTTTGCCTGAGACGCGCGAGGATCCACAGCATCATCAAATAAATTAGCCATCTCGGAGAGGCGTCGGATTTTGGGGTGGATGCAACTCTTATACAGGTAACTAGCTTACCATAAAGGCGATACAGCATATTAGGCGGAAGCAGGTTATGCGTTCACTCCAATTAAGGCGTCATAACCTGAAATATGATCGCGCATAGTCACTAAAAGTTAAACAGTAGGAGGAGGTTTTGTGTAGATGGGCTGTTCAGTTTGCCCCAATAGCCAAGGAGCGAGACGAGCGTTTATAATACAACAATGATGTTGTTCTGAGCATCACTGAGGGAGACATCGAGTAACTGATGCCCTGTTCTATTGATAAACCATTCATAGTGAGACTCAGATGTGCTTTTCACTGTTTCAGCCGAGACCTGTCGCTGGCAACTCATATTCACTATGTAGATATGGTATGGTATGGCTTGCTGTCAATGATAATTAGAGCTTATGACAACTCGATGAGAAACATCATGCTGACACAAAGAAATATCCTAATCAAGTTAAGCTCCTAGAAGGGAGTAAGTATATATTATTTTCTATTGAAATGTGTTACTAACAACTTAAAATAACTAAGTAAAACGAAATGATCCTTGGGCTCAGGAAGTACCGTTTGCAGGTTCTGATTAAAGGGCAGCTTCAGTTGCTTAGGCCATTCTCAATCGCCCAATGCACGAATTGCAATATAACGCGGTGTACAAACTGCCGCGTAGAGAGAACAGCAACTTACCTAAGTTGCAACTCACTGTTTACATTTGGTGCCATCCTGAAGTAACTTCCTCTCCCGCCTCTCCCGCCCTCCTGCTCTTGCCTGCCGTGGTTTACTGTGCTGAAGACCACCCCTCTTGTTTCTCTCTTGCAAACATGATCGTTCAACTCTTGCATATTCCAAATTCCCCACAAACCATGGCGCGAGAAATCCAAGCCCCTTCTCAGATGCGAGCCTCGAACATCATCCGTCTGGCCACTTCACAAGGAACCACCTGGTTCACTCACCACCTCGATAGCCTTCTCCGCCGCCTCTACAAATATCCTCCCCTTCTCTCGACTATAGTATTTGAGACGAAGCGCCTGAATGGTGGTCTTTGACCTCCCCTGCGGGGGTCCAAAAAGTAAGTCACTCTTGGAAGCGGCTCTCTTCCATTCATTCAACGATCAATTTCACTGACTAACTCGTTCAATTTCTAGCCCGATTTTCAAGTCAGTCCAACCTGTGTCCCCATGATCCCTCTTATGTTCATTCCCATATACTAAACTACTTGTTCAGCACACCAGAACAGTCGCGGTAGGTGTCAACAATCTTTGGCTACTCCTTATGACAAGACCAAACTGACGATGTTTCTCTTTCTAGCACGCCCTCGACATGGTCGCCGTAAGTATTCTCCCGATCCTCCACTACTGAACAATACACTGACAATTCTATAGTGGCTGAAAAGCCGGGCAGAAGTAAGATTGATGGCAGGTAGTGTTCACTGTGGACATGCACTGACATGGATGTCTGTAGGCCCGCAAAAAAGAACGACTGGCCCTGGTGGCCCTGGTGGCGGTGAGGTCAATTGCATCCCCACAGCCTTGGTACAGAAGCTTGCGGCTAAGGAGTCCGAGTCCTCCTCGATCAAGGTGAGTAAATCGTCCAATCTGCTGAAGAAAGCTATACTAATAATGTCTAGGATCTTTTCGCCGCGGCGGTTGTAAGTCATCCTTCTTGTAACTATGTAAGAACATATTTAGCTAACAGACTTGTAGAAAAGGAAGAAGGAGGCCAAGCCCGAGGAGACAGAGCCTGAGCAGGAAAGATATCGACAATGAAACTAAAGTCGGCGGCCTCGCATGCGTGCTTGCATGTCTGAAAAGTTACGCGATCAAGAATACACAGCAATGGCAAATCGGGGAAGGGCGCATAAGGTACAGGAGGGATGCGAGAGCCAGCATTTAGGATGAGAAGAAATAAACTCTTCAAACTTAAGGGTCTATTCATACTAAAGTATCCTAAAGTTGCCTAAGATTATGCTGCCCTTACCTAAAGCTGGCCTAAGACTTGTGCATGAGATCTCGTGTTCTTGATGTAACAATAAAACGCCAATGGCAGTTAAACTCTGCGTGCACTGTAGGTACCTGTAAGTGGTGGTTGCTTCCATTTGGTGTTATCCATCTCGAGGTAGGTAGTTCCCTGGACTCCCACCCTCGCCTGCCTTGGTTTTGCCGCCAAAGACCACCTTCTTCTGCTTGTGTTTCCTCTTTTCATCACCCAACTCCCACATCTTCCGCATCACCAACCTCACGTTACAAACCATCGCGCAAAAGATTCAAGCCGCTTCAAATGACAAGCCCTCGATTTCATCTGCGCGGTGAGTCTCCCTTTTCCTCGACGTTCCTGGCCGAGCGTGCTTCCTGATGAGACTGTTGACTAATTGTTGATCGCAGTCTTCGTACGTTTCCGTCTCCATTCTGCGCCGTTCCTCGTCTTGCCGCTAACACGCAGTTTGCACAGCGTCATTAAAAGCCCACCGGTGTAAGTTCAACTTGTCCTCCATCCCATCCTTGACACTTCTAACATGTCTGTTTTCATCTAGTCTTTCACAAACTTTCAATCTTGTAAGTTTCCCCTACGTGGCTTCGTCCACCTCCAACTCCAAGCACTCTCGGCTGACCAGTCATGTAGCAACCAAATCATCACCGTAAGATCAATTTACCACCTGAGTAACGACATGTCTAGCTGTGCACAGGATTGCTGATAGTCCTTCCCGATGGCCCCCAAACGACCGGTGAGTGCGAACGTCCCTTCCAGCACCCTCCCAAAAGCCCATCCATAACATGCGACTGCGATCATCAATTCATGGACACGATTGCGGACAACTTTCTTAGGAGATTCAGTTCAGCAATGTGCCTCTGGCAGTAAGTCATGAACAGTCGATGATTACATGAATCAACAGCTAATGTTTGTCTAGCAACGCGTTACGTCCGTGTCCTCGGACACCAGAGTAAGCACATATCCCTTGTCCTCTAGCATTAGGTTTCATGGAACATCCTCGTCGCATTCGCTTATATTCTTCAATGTCGTACACATGCTGACAGCCTTTCCGCAGTCCCGAAAAGCAGTACGTACCACTCCATCATCGACCGAACACATCAAGATCTTGGAGGGCATGGGTTTCTGACAGAGTGGTGATTAGTCCAACCACTCCGTTGCGTCGGCGACCGGGAGCCCGAGTCTGCAAAATGATGCGATCAGAATTTCACGACAATGACAAATATAGTTGGGGGATAACACTGTTCAAGGATGGAAATGGACCATGGCACAAACCAAGATGACTGCGAGGGCCAGTATTTGGGATGAAAGAGGAATAAACTCGTCAAACTTTAGGCTTTGCCCATACTAAACTCCCCTAAAGCTGGTCTAAACTACTGTGATACTCCCCTAAGGCTCGTCTAAAATTTGCGCAACGTGGGGACCGAGGTCTCGCGTTCCTGGCCTGCGAAATGTCTAGGTTGTGAACTAGATGTGGTATTTGCAGTCGAGACTTGCGGCGGAAAGCTTAAACCAACAGAGAGAATTGAGTGTTCTCGCATGGGTCGAGCGTGACTTGTTGAGAGGATCAAATGAACAGTCAAACTTGTATATTCAGGATTTGCCGTACCGCCCCCTTCCTCGTAGATCTATATCCAATTACATTCTCTATTTATACACCGACTCCCATGTATTGATCTCCAAACTGTGGACATGGGGAATTGAAACGCCGATCGACCTTGCAAACCACAAAACTCCAGCATCAAAATGAACCGTCTACCAAGGCATACCGTTTTGCTTGATCAGATCGTCCTCGGAAGTCTTGAAGCCCTCCGACTCCTTGAGGAACTGCTTGTGGAAAGTCTCGAGTAGAACACCAGGGAAGACAGCACCTACGGCCTGGACGAGACGATCCTCCTTGCCGATCCAAACGTGCTTGATGAACTTGCCGTCGCAGCCTGATCGGCTTTCGGGAAAGCCGTTGGCCTCGGTACAAGGCAGGGAGAGAATCTCATCGGGATACTCGTAGCGGATGAATGTGCCGAAACCGCCCTGGTCGGTTGGTTGCCAGCCCTTTCGGTTGCGGAACTCAGTGCAGCCGGGGAACTTGCCGCCGTCATTGGCACAGTCATCCCACTCCTTGAAGATCTCGTATGTCTTGTTCTTGTTCTGCATGATCATAAAACCAGTGTTGAGGAACAGGTTTCCACGTCGGTCGCGGTTGTGCTGGGTGTCGGGATCGTAGGGCAGGGCAAGGGAGTTGTTCTGGGGAGAAATGCTCCAGTAGTTCATGAGCCACTCGAGAGGGAGGTCGAGACGGTTGAAGAGAGCGTCGGAGTCGATAAAGACACAGACGTCGTGCTTCTTCAGAACCTGCGAGAGGACGGAGGGCTTCTTCCATGAATCGCGACGGTCGGGGTAGCCGTTGATCTTGATGTGGTAGTACTGGTATCCGTGGATCTTGGCTTTCGAGACATTAGTACACCGCGAGTGCTGGGGAGGGGGTAAGCGAAGGACGTACAGTAGACCCAGTGGTTCAGTGTGCCACCGGATGGGCCGTGGACTTCTCGGCTCTTATTCCACGTCATTTCGTCGGACCAGATCTGGCCGGGCTTGTCGAAGCGACGGCTCTCGAGGTCGATGATGCACAGCTTCTTGCCGAGGGGCTCATTCCAAATGGGCTTGTCGGAGGGAAGCTTGGAGGGCCAGTGGCCGTAGGGGTAGTATTCGGGTTCGTTGACCTTTACGGCGGGCTTGATCCACTGCTCGGGTGTGAAGGCATCGAGGTTAGGACCGGTGGGCGCTTCGGGAATGGCGGGAGCTTCAGGTGTTTCCTCGACTTCGGTTTCGGGGATGAACTCTTCCTCATTCTCGTGGTCATGCTCATGTTCGTGGTCGTGCGCTTCCTCATGTTCGTGCTCGTGGTCGTGCTCGTGGTCGTGCTCGTGGTCATGCTCTTGCTCTTGCTCCGGCTCAGCGGCGGGCGAAGCAGCAGCAGCAGGAGTCGGAGAAGCATTGGCAGCCTGCTCCTTAGCCTCAGCAATCTCCTCGGGGTCGCTAGGCTCCTCCGCAGGATCAGCCTCAGGCTTATCGGGCGTAACAGCATGGTGATGCCCCTCAGGCTTTGGCGTCTCAGCTACGACCTCAACAGCGGGTGTCGCGCCAATCTCTTCATCTTCGCCGGGTACGAAAGTCGGGGCAGCAGCGGCGGCTTCTTTCTCGGGGACAAAAGGCGCGGGTTCGTTGCTGTTCAGAAGGGATAATTGTCAGATAAAGTTTATCGCTGCGAAAAAGAGGGGGAAATGGAAAATCTTACACTCCGCTCTTTACGGCTGCTGTCGACTCGGAGGGAGTCTTTAGGTGGAAATGCGCAAGACCGAGAAATATGGTGACGAAAACGACGGCGGCCAAGAGCACGGCTCTGTTTGACCTTGGGACGGTCATTTTCTGGCGATCAGACGACGATTAATCTGCTGTGTGATGGGATGATAAAAAGAATGTAAGAAAAACGAATGTCGGAAAGCAAGAAAAATAAAAAATAAAGCAAGACAAGAAAGTGACAGACAGCTGAGCTGAGAGAGGGGGGAATAAAGGAACTGACAACAGACCCCTGACTCTCTTGTTTAAACCGGTCCAGGGGGTTCTTACTTTAGATACAGTATCATTTTTGCTCTCCCTACCGTAGCGATCTTGCTGGTGCTTGTCTCAGCACAGGTAGCGCTTCATAACGGTTGGTCAAGGCTTGACGCCTCGTTGATCCACTGTAATCAATCTGCGACGACGCCTGTAGAAAAGGGGACCATGAGGCCACGGTAGTTGGGAATTAACCTTGCTTTGTAGGTTGTTTCTGATGAAGTGTTATTCCGCCGATAAGATTGATGGAATCGAAGACTGCAGTGTCTTCATAAGGTTATTATTAGAGTCTTGACTGATGGTGATACTGTACTGGGCACTGTAGGTTGCACGCGATGCGGGGGTGCTGACGCTTACTTTGCCTTTTGGTGTTGGTCCCTTTAACGGATCCTGTTCCGCCAAGCAATTTCTTACCCAGATCTCGTCACTCTTCCACCGTCTTTCTCGAAGCCCGTTGCCAGAAATATTCTTTCGGGATCTCTGCCATCGATTGCAGCGCCTTTTGGCCTGTAACACAGGCACTCGCAATCTCATTTTGACCATAGTGCTTGATCACGCTTTGCTACCTCCAAACTTTGAATGTTGCAGGGCTGTAACTCTGTTTTTCTCCTCCCGAAACTGCCGTCGCTAGCATCAGACTCAACGGTCGGGCGCCACGGTTTGACCCAAACCAACCTCTCTCTGCCTCAACGACGCCCCTTCAAATGTCTACTGCCGTCGCAAAATGAAGCTTTCCATGTGCAGTCACTGAATAGGAGAAATATTCTCCTCTCTCGATTATTTTTTTCTTTATTTGAGCTGCAAAAAAGAGGGGGCTCTTTGTTACAGCACGATTCCTCAGCTGAAGCTAAAGACGCCACTTGAAACGGGTTTTAATTGGATGGCTGCTGAGCTCCATCCGCCCCCTTGCTTTGGCGATGATGCTCATGACCGGTAATCATTCCTGTAGGTAGGAATCCTCTGGGCCTGAATCGCTTCGGCACTGTCAGTTGCGCGTTGATATGCTTCAGGCGCAAAGCAACTGCTTCCGTGCTCTGCTTCTTCAATGACCATCGCGACAAGCTACTCCGATAACCAACTCCCGATAACCCCTGGGCTAACCCAGTCTATGTCCCTGATCAGATTCTAATCCCTGCCACCTGAAAACGCATTCTGTCAATAGCGCGCCCAGCCACCAATCAGCATCCATCTATCTGTTCCACCCTAAGCTAACGATGTTTTGGGTCATGGTCCCTCCACGCTATCGATTTGTTTCAACTCCTTTTGTCACGCTATTGAAGCTATCGCCAGTTTCTGCGGCGTTGATTCAGGGGCAATTAATTTTCGTACAAATTTTGTGGCTCGTTAGGTTCAGGTGCTACCACCTGTCAGTCGTCAATATCCGCAATGCCGGCGCCTCGAACAGTCAGCTATAGGGTATGGCAAAGTCGTCACGTCATTTCTCCCCAACCATCTTCACAATGGCCAATACTCGGGCCTACTTAGCCATGGCTAAGATCACGGGCGTGTTCCTGTAAAATGATTTACTACCGAGTGCACTTGGCCATTTTAAATATGTTTATTGTCCAGACAATTGTAGGAATTGTATAAGATAACTCATCTTCCTCGAAAACATACAAAAGTCTACAGAAACCTATCAGGTCCATGGGAAACACATCAGTTCCAAGGGTCTTCAACAAATGCCTAGTATCTCTAAAATTTGACGTGTGGAGAGTTTGCAGTCTTGAAATGCCCATTTTCTGTACCTCGCTGGAGGATATTGTCATCAGATGCACAAGAATATGAACAGGTTTATAATACCTCGGTTAAGTAAGCATCAAACACTTGGATATATGACAAGTTGGGACAAGTTTGAGCCGGTATTGGGAAAGATTTTGATAATAAATAATTGAAAAGCTCCAAGAATATACTGCAAAACTACCTACCAATGTAATTTATGCTTTAGATCTGACAGTAAACCTTCATCGGCAAGCTGAGGTGCTTAAAATATCGCAAGTCATCGTGCAGAGCTTCAGGCCTCTTCTAGGAGCAAGGTTCATACTGACCTGAGCCCGCCTCCTTCACAAAAGTCTCAAATATTACTATGGCCAACCACCCCAATTTCATTCACTCGGCAATAGTGCCAGAGACGACCAACCTGAAAGCCGGCAATGTCGGAGAGCTCAAGAACACTCGCAACGTGTTTTCGGAAACGAAGAGCAAATTGTGTACCACTGACCTTACCAAGTTGACCGAGGAAGTTTTACCTGTGAATAAAAGCCTCATAAGAAATCAATAAGCGGCTGTACCTTGGAGTCAGTCAGTCGAAGGTGATTGACCGTGTCTGTCTCTACCAAAAAATTGCAAGGTGCCCTTACGGGTATTCTAGGTATTCTTATTGCCAGCACTACCTTATAAGCTATAACGAGCGTGCCTGGGACGAGTCTGCTCAGTGGCTGAGCCCCAAGTCGGAGCTATTCTTGCAATACTTTCGGCACGCCGGTATTTGAAGTTGAGTTGAAGGTGACGTACTTGGGCATCTGAAATGATTGGATCGGGTGTTGCAAGTTGTTGAAATGACGGTATTGGCGCTGATCGAAGAC